TTTTGTGTTTTGATCCTGGTTGTTTTTTTGGAGAAAAGCACTTTAGCTTTTCCCCCGCAAAACAACTTATAAAGGGGGGAGGTGTCACATACAGCACTGATGGTACCTGTCTGTCATGGGTTTGGAGGGAAAGTTCCATCCTATGGGGAGTGGAAGGCGGGACATCAGGGGGGGAGGAGCTGTACTGTATATATATTTGGAGCTGGTGTGGAGAGTTAGGAGTTGGAGTCTGTGTGTCAGACTGGGTACAACTGTTTGTCAGTTAGTACATACCTGATAGGTTCAGGTTTCTAGCTAGGTAGCCAGAACTGATAGGTTCAGGGTCTGTGCATTACCTTAAAGTGTTCTGTGGGAACCAAGCTGTTGTATGTGTGTGATTAGGACTATGCCATGTTCCAGTTTCCTATTTACCTGATTCTTTTATTTACCCTGTTTGTTATTTCAATAAACCTTGTTCTTTTGTTTATTAAAATCCATTCCTGGTCTGTGTGACTCCTTACAGGGAATGGTTGGTGGCAGCATAATTACAGGGTGGGATACTCCAGTAGGTCTGGGGTTGCCACACTGTCCAACTATCTTGTCCTCTGTTGTCCCCTTCTCCTCTTGCCTTCACATTTTCCCAACATCAGGGTCTTTTCCAGGGAATCTTTTCTCATGAGATGGCTAAAGTATTGGAGCCTCAGCTTCAGGATCTGTTCTTCCAGTGAGCACTCAGAGTTGATGTTCTTCAAAATGGATAGGTTTGTTCTCTTTGCAGTCCAGGGGATTCTCAAGAGTCTCCTCCAGCACCACAATTCAAAAGCATCAATTCTTTGGCAGTCAGCCTCCTTTATAGACCAGCTCTCACTTCCATACATTACTACTGGAAAAATCATAGCTATGACTATGCGGACCTTTGTCGGCAGTGTGATGTCTCTGCTTTTTACGATGCTGCCTAGGTTTATCATTGCTTTCCTCTCAAGAAGAAGGCATCTTTTAATTTCATGGCTGCTGTCACCATCTGCAGTGATCATGGAGCCCAAGAAAGTAAAATCTGTCACTGCCTCCATATCTTTCCCTTCGATTTGCCAGGAGATGATGCGACCAGTGGCCATGATCTTAGTTTTTTGATGTTGAGCTTCAGACTGTCCCCTTTCACCCTCATTAAGAGGTTCTTTAAGCCCTCCTCACTTTCTGCCATCAGAATGGTATCATCTGCATATCTGAGGTTGTTGAAATTTCTTCCGGCAATCTTAATTCCGGTTTGGGATTCATCCTGTCCTGCCTTTCGCATGATCTAGTCTGCATATAAGTTAAATAAGAAGGGAGACAATATACAGCCTTGTCGTACTCCTTTCCTAATTTTGAACCAATCAGTTGTTCCATACTCAGTTCTAACTGTTCCCTCCTGTCCGACGTATAGATTTCTCAGGAGATAGATAAGGTGGTAAGGTACTCCCATTTCGTTAAGAACTTGCCATAGTTTGTTGTGGTCCACACAGTCAAAGGCTTTTGCGTAGTCAATGAAGCAGAAGTAGATGTTTTTCTGGAACTCTCTAGCTTTCTCTATAACCCAGCGCATGTTAGCAATTTGGTCTCTTCTTCCTCTGCCCCTTCGGAATCCAGCTTGTACTTCTGGGAGTTCTCGGTCCACATACTGCTGAAGCCTGCCTTGGAGGATTTTGAGCATAACCTTGCTAGTGTGTGAAATGAGTGCAATTGTACGGTAGTTGGAGCATTCTTTGGCACTGCCCTTCTTTGGGACTGGTATGTAGAGTGATCTTTTCCAGTCCTCTGGCCACTGCTGAGTTTTCCAAACTTGCTGCCACATTGAGTGTAGCACCTTAACAGTGTCATCTTTTAAGATTTTAAATAGTTCAACTAGAATGCCATCACCTCCACTGGCCTTACTGTTAGCCATGCTTTCTAAGCCCACTTGACTTCACTCTGCATGGGGCATAGATCAATAGAAGCTATTTTCTCCTGATGAGATGGCACACAGGAGATTGAGGACCAGCCTGACCCTGCTCCGCACCCAGTGTGGGTTCAACAGCAGGACTAGTGTTTGTTTGTTTGTTTGTTTGTTTGTTTTGTTTTTGCAGCTATGCTGGAGAAATTTCTGTATGAACAGGAAGGCCACTTTAAGGGAGATCACTTCCAGCAAAGCATCTCTTTCCAGTGAGATTGGACACAAAAACTATCCTTTATTTCCTTTGACTCCATCCTGAGACAGATTGTCATGGCTACTTCTTTGGAAACTGCTACGAAGGAGAACACTACTTGTCAAATTATAGTTGGTATTAAGCCCCAGATTTGAGAATCTTTATGAGGTGAATCAAACGATGGTTGTCCCTGTTCCTGGCAGAATCAAACACCCTGTAGCATCCCCGAGAATCTCTTAGCATGGCTGGCAAGGCGTTTTGTGCATGCATGGGTTAGTATGGTGCACGAAGGGTTTCAGTGGCTCCCCTGGAGCAGCCTTTTAAGACCATAATGGAGGGCCTCATTTGGCAGAACACGCACAGGCAAGCAGGCCTAGCTTACAAGAGTCTGAAATGATTATATAGAGCTTACTGGAAACAGAGACATCTTTATACATTGCATACATGTGTGTAAACGAGTCAGCGCAACTTTACAAGACGGAAGCCGAAACCTTTTGCTTTTCAATGCTTCCGTTTGTTAGTCACTCTTGCAAGTGCATACACCAATATAAATGTGTGTGCGTGTGTCCAAAGATGTATATACCTTACTACCGCTTGTACAATCGCTGCGCCCACCATACGAGGTGCCTAGCAAAGACGAGGCAGAAAGAGACGCCAACGACTGACTTATAAAAACATCCCGACGTCCACATGATTGGCCGCAAAATTATCCCCCGCCCTGAAAAGGGCGTGGCCCAAAGGGAAAGACC